TGGGGGGTACGGCATGGTTGTGGGTGTTGATAAATAAAACAATCCCATAGCACTGAAGCACTGAAATACAGGGGGGAAAATATAGAAAGGGGGAAAAAATCAATAATTAAACAACACTGCGTCGTCAGTGTTGGTATTGTATCAGACACTTGCACTTAACATGAAAATCAAGCTCAAATGGAGTTAACAAGATTTTTGTCCAGCGAATGACGGAGATGAGATCTGTGTTTTCACAAAAACAGACACTATGTTACAGACATAGTGTTTGAGTAAAGAAAACACTGTACTATTCAAACATCAGTTATTTATTTAACCTTGCATTGCGAAAAAGCGGAGATCTGTCTCCTGTAGGCTGTGCGCGGCGAATCAATCTGAATGGAGGCGGGGTGAAGTTACGAGGTTTCGCTCACAGCTTGAGGATCCAATGGCGTTACGAAGTTTTACTGACAAGCTCTTTTTAATGCCTATCATTGGTTAAATATTTGTAAAACCCGCTGATTTAAAATAATAATAACTAATTATAATAGAGATGTGCATGACTGTTTGAAAATTAGTGAGGTATGGGGTGGGGGTAAAAATTGTGCTATAATAACCCCACATACAACTCATTATATAGGCTACTCACTTTAAAATAGACAGATAAAGATGTTTGTGAAAGATGTTTTCTCTGTTTTGGAGGAATGAGCATTGTTAAATTATATCATATTGCACCATTACTTTAGGTTAGGGATATAATATTATCAGTTGTTTATTAGTCATTCAACAATACTTAGGCCTATTACTGTAAGAGTTTTCATTAATAACCTATATAGATGATAACTTAGTGCTCTAATGAATGTTGTTGGCATGACTTTGTGAACATTTAACTACAATACTCAATGAAATAGCATATACTTACTTGTTTTACATATCTCTTCGCTAATGTTATATGCTACTGTTTTGATAGCGTTGATAACGTTTCTGACAGATAATTTCATGATTTTTTTTTTGTGTGTGTGTTTGCCTTACCGAATGTAGTATCATGTCAGCAATCCTGTCAGTGCAGTCTGTGGGCTCTTTTGATTACTATCAGCTTATGTTAACATTGCAGTGTTGCCAGATATTGCTATGAAAACAAATAAAAACTGAAAAAAAAATTTAAAAATAAACCGAAATGAGTTCAAATCTTTTGTAAATATGATAAGATAAAGATATCGCTAACCCTAAACTGCAAATTCCCACTCTATTAACTTTCTAAAGTGTCAAATTAAGTAGAACATACAAGTCCAAATATGCTAATAATAGCCGGATCTGGTGTTGTGACATTTTATACTACCCGTCAGATTTTCCTACAAGGGTTTACTGCACATGCGCACATCAATATTGCGTCCTTTTTCTCACGCTGAACAACAATATTTAATCAACCCGGCAGAAGCTGCGCCTGCACCCTCACTGACTACGTTTTTACATGGACATCAGTAATCTAATTATTTACCCTATTCTGAATAAGACAATATTACGATTAAGGTGTTTACATGAGTTGCTTTTAGAATATTCCTTTCATGTTCCCGTTTTATATGTTATAGTACATAGATCGATTAATGGCATATGTAATTACGTCACCACGCGACGCCATCCAACGTGCCCTCCAGAATTTCACGTATAAACATATAGTTCGTCTTCGTTATGATGCCATATACAGTTTTGGGTGTTTATCTTTTTATTTACTGAAAGCTTCAAGTGCAGATAATTATTTGTCATGCTATACGTGCAAACAGACGACAGTAATAATGTGTACATGTCTTTACTGCACTTAAATAATGCGACTGAAATAGGAATACTCCACATGTTTTAAATTGATTAGTGTTTACTTCGATTATGACTTTAGCCGGATTAAGGTAATCAAAAATCTCTGTTTA